TTCGTAAGTTTGCTATGTAGGATTTCCAAATTATTTTTCTAACATTCTACCCCGTTCCAGAGAAATTTTATACCCTTTTGTTATATCAGATTTTGCAATTTTATAATTTTTTATCTATGTAATATGGATGGATGTCTGCCCAGACCCGACAAGATCTAAAGCCCGACCACACCTCTCATCTCACCACCCTTCTCCGAGCAGGAGTTGATAGCCACCAACATCGTGACAACACAGTCGATGCCACCATGTCCGAGGACAATCGCTCACACGCTACCATTCTTTAGATATTGCTTCATCACATAGCAACGCATGGGTATTTACCTGGTTAATAAGAGAGGACAGCTTTGTCTTCCATAAAAGTATCGTAATAAGCTTGTACGTCTATTATTATTGTATTTCGTGTATCTTCTAAAGTTGTTTTTAGGGAGGATAGCATCCCCCAAACGCCGATTGCTGCCCCCTCACAATCGGGTCTTAATCGGTCGCGCAAGGGACATTTTTATGTTAATCTTTGCAAGTGATTTCCAAAAGTCCAATAAAGTTGCTCAGCAATAAATCTGATGGTAAACCTAAAATAACATGAGACAACTCATGGAAGTTCTATTCAGAACGTAAAAATGCTATCCAACCGACGAAATCAATGTAAATCATCAAGGAGTTGATAGCGGCACTAGATGTGCCAGAATCGGATGCACCATTGCAGAACTGCGTGTGTGCACGATGGACTCCACCAAAAGCGGGAAGGACGAAGATCAATGCTGATAGGACCATTGCGATGCACAGTGGGCTAGCGACTACTGGAGTGGTGGCTTGGGATGATCAGGGATCAGTCCTTATGGGTAGGCTAACGAAGTATGAATCTATTAAGGGCCCGGTATTGATCGTGTCTTTCGCCTGTAGGGACGCTCTAGCTCTAGCCCTAGAGAAGGGTCTCTCGCGTGTTATCTTAGAAATAGACTGCCAAAATGTGTGCAATCAGTGGATCAAGGGAGATGCCAGATCAATAGTTGTCAAGTGTTCATGGAGATGAAAGGTGATCTCCATCGTTTACCGAGGTTAAGCTGCAATTTGTTAGTAGAGTAGCAAATTCGGTAGCTCATACTTATGCTAGGGAAGTGCTGTCTTTGGAAGCGATCTCTTTAAATCTTGATGTAACTCTTGTGTTTCTAATTTCCGCCCTCGTATGATTAAAGAGCCCTGAGGGTGCATTCCAAAAAAATGCTATCCAATCCAACATAACATAAGCCGAGTACATTCGGCTGTGTGGTCCAGATACATTTTTTCCTCCAACACCCTTCATCAAACGTGCATGGATCAGTCCGGACGTTCCAGTTGTCACAAACACGAATCAAACCTAGGGAAGATTTGAAAGTCTGGACAATCTGTTTGGTCTATTTGGTCTATTGTCAGTTGGAGCACATGTCCTCACACGGGAGCGACTACAATAGAAAAGCACCTTGTGGTGCAAAAATAGAAAAACGAATCTGGATCCATTGCAGATGGTACAGATTTAAATGTAGGGATCCCAGGCCACTTAATGTGCATTTTAT